TGCGCATTCGGGGGGAGAGTCCTGTAGTCAGCAATGACTTTGGGCTTGAAAATTGTAGGCCATTTTTCCAGGCATTTTCCAGACATCTCATCTCCAAACATCTTGGAGAGATCCTGGTCAATCTTTAAAGACGAACACACAGAATTCTCACATATTTCAATATATACATTGCTTTTAGGTACACATTAGATAATTGTAGATAATGTAGATAATTGTAGATAATGCCTCTGCATTCTTCACAGAAGAGCTTTTTGATGGCTCTTTTGGCTATCCAGATGAATAAGCCTAGAATGGCACTGAGAGAAAACTGATGTGTTTCACTGTACTGTCTTCATCCTCAATGCGAGATAGCCTGTTTTACACTGAGGGTCATAGCAGTGTTCCTGTATCACACCGTAAAACATACACATGCATAAATATTAATCATCATTTACTGTAGGCTTCTTGGTTGCTAATGCCTGCTAGTTATATCTCCTCAAAATCCCTGTTTTCCTTAATATTTTTACTAGTACAGTAAATCAGGACACCTGATTTTACAAACTAAATCAAAGATATGTCTATCTATTTCTGTTCCGGGCTCATCAGTTAATTAGATCTGTCCCTCAGTCATTCAGGCTGCACACTAAAGCAGAGATAACTTTTCTTGAACTAAATACCAACTTTCTTGAGAAAATCTGTGAAATATCTTGAAATAAACAATCATATTCCGTACTAATTTGTCATCAACACGTGGAAAATATCACTGAATACTATTTCATGCAAATGCATACATTCGTTGGTTAGAAAAACTGCTTTCTCGTGCCCCTATCGCCTCGAATCTCTCTAAATAGCGTTTACAGCGAGCGAAGCGCACAAGTATGTTAGTACTTAGACGCATAATGAGAAAACAGTGTTTCAGGACATATTTCATGAATTAAGACGTTCTAAAGATTGGTTTGCAGGATTTTAATCTTTTAACACTTCATTATCCAATTATACATTTTAATGTTAACAATCATATTTCGTTCTACATTTTAGTATAAACATGTGAAAAAT